GTACTTTTGATGTTGAGGGTCTCAGGGATAGTTTCTGTCGTGTGTTTGTTCCTATTCTAGAGATTACATTAACGATAGATTGTTTAATATATACTCTAGCAAACCAGTTTTAAAGAGATCTGTATGGAAAAGTCAATTGCTATGAATTAACTGCCATGTGATTGAAGTTAGATTGATTACTTATTGACCGCTAAGATTTTATATGGAAAAATCAATTTTTACATATAAAACATAAAACCAATTAAAATTAGTTGTGTTACTAGCCAAGAAAGAATCGACATGTTATGCTAAAGATACTCGGCCGATTTCCCTGTTAGATATTTTTTTTTAAAGTACTAGAACGGTTATTCTTGAGCCGATTTCAGATGGTTCTTAAAAATAGAGGTATTTTAAACGACTCTCAATCAGGATTCAGATCGAACTTTAGATTACAAACTCGTGTACCTAACTTGATTGATCAAATTTCGTCTTTAATGAGTACTAGCGCACCAGTAGCCACGACCTTTGTTGACTTCAAGCAGACCTTTGACCCGCTTTGGTGGGATGGATGCCTAGGTAAACTAATTCGTCTAGGCATACCAAAAGCTTAGGTAATGTAGATAGATTGCTGGTTAAAAGACAGATGGGGATTTATAGAAATAAATGGTAAACGTTCAAGGTTCTTCCCAATTTCCAGAGGAGGACCTCAAGGTTCGTGCTTGACTCCCGCTATTTTTATCACATACCACAGCGATATGTGGACCTTTCTTGAAAGTAGTCTTCCTAATTTTTTTGCTGATGACCTGGCATGTGTTATAGGAGGTATGATGGAAATCAGGTATACAGAGCAATGCCTCGATCTTGAGGCTAAACTCAAGAAATTATTCGACTACCTCGAATACTACGCTATCTTATCTGTACAACCGATAAATTATGAAAAAACTGAGCTGATATGGACAGCACGCGCCATCGGTAACCCTAGTTTTGATATCTCCATGGGAGATCATAAAATTTCCTGGGTTAAGAACTTTAGATATCTTGGATATCATATATCGTGTAAACTAGGCTGGAACAAAATGATTTCCTTGTACAAAAGTAAGATTAGACAGAGAGTAACTATCGTGAAGTCATGTCATATGTATGGCTCTTCTTCACAAGAATTCCGTAGAGTCCTGTTCTCAACCTATGTCCTCCCCCTCTTCACGTGGCTGTTCAGTATATTCCCCTTCTTTACCGATTGCCAAAAGAATGACCTCGAACATTTCTATTTTACTTGTTTAAAGCTAATTCTAGGGGTCCAGTATTGGAACGACTTCCTCTTTGCATCAGTTTACAATGAAAAATCTCTGGAGAATCATTGTGTGAGATACATCTATGCTGTTCGAACATCAAGCATTGAATGCGTTCAGAAATCAATGGCTTGACAAAGGGTTCGTGATAAAACGTGTGTATCGATCTAAAAGACTTGTACCATTCGTCCCGAGTATCGAACAATGTCTTAGATGGTTAGAAAGCCACGTTACAGACTGTATCCCTCTTATACCCGAAGATGAACTTGATATGCTTTCCTCGTTTCCTCAGACGTTCCTATAAAACGAAAACGATTTTGAAGATTCTACGAATACACCCAGCCCGATCAATCCCACTCTGAGTACCTCTTCATCTAAACCCGTATGCCCGTACGATCTTCACATATTATTAAATCTGTCTGTGTTACTTGACTCTTACGTGCATTTCCACTTCGTTCTTGGCAAGATCAGTGCATCCTAAGTTAACATTTTTCGAATGTAGAGATTGTGATGTGCTTCATCTCTCTTATTATACTTTATTATATTTCCTTGATCTTCCTGCTTTCTGGTATTTTTAATTGTATTGTATCTCCTTCTAGTTGTTGCTGCTTCTCTCCTACTGTACCTTTGCTCCTTGGTTTTCTTTTTCTTTTTCTTCTGATCCTTTTTCCTGGTTCTCTTGTTGCATGTCTGTTTCTCCCTCCTTGTTGATCTTTCCATCTTTTCTTTTAGCATCTCTTTTTCGTACATTGATGATGTCTTGTAAGGCCTTTGAGCATTAATTCTATATCCAACCAAGCATAATAAAAAAAAAAAAAAAAAAAAAATTAAAATTAGTTGTTGTATTGAATTTGATCGAAAAATTCCATATTTATTCGACATTTTGATTATTTTGCGCAAATCCCTCTCAATATGAATTTTCATAATTTTTTGACATTCAACTATCGCTAAGAATTACTGATTATTTACCTGGAAGTTATCGACATCATGCAACAAGAAAGAATAAGTTCTGCGATATATCTTTTGATAACCTGCTGCCAGATCAGAACTCAATATCTACATTCAATATGATCGGATCTAAGCTTTGTAACTGAACTGGAAACAAGGGAAATATAACTCGGATCGTGTTGTCATGATAAAATACCAGAAACTTAGACGGAAACCGTACTGGAAACGTCAGGTGAACAGCTCGGATCCTTTTGACATGATATAACACCGGAAACTTGGTCGAGAACCCCAGCGGAAACGGCGATCGTAACCGAAAATTTATTCCGGGCACAGAAATTGGTAGGAAATGATCAGGAACTAGCAGGTGGAACCGATTTTAGAATACTGCTTCCAGGAATTCACCGGAAAATCGCAGGATACCGCCGTTTCCTGCCGTACGTTTTTGACCTGGAATTTTGAAGAGTGCGAGTTTTGAGCTATTTTGAGGTTTTTCTGAGAATAGATAGAATAAATGCAACTATTAGTAGAATAAATTAGGGAAAATTCTAAACATTGGTACTCTAAAATTTTAGCTGACGAAATTTTAGAAAAAGCATGAATGAATTTTTCTAAAAGCTATAGTTCCATAATTCGATGCATTAACAAACAATATAACTCGATTTATGTAACAAAATGTTTAGGATAATTGAAAGTGTTTATAGCTGCAGTAATACTTATCACATTCTATATGCAAAACGTTCATTGGCACATACAAATGTGAATAAGTTTATGATCGACGGTCCATATATAGACTACGTTGCGTTTTATACTTAATGTGATCATATGTGGCTCAAAGGTATGTATACTTGTCTTCTAATCGTAAGCTCACTTGTTCTAATCTCCTTTCTATCTTTGCAGAAACATTAAGATTTAAACTTTCCGTTGGCCTATAGTTAGGTAAAGACCATCGCTATGCAATATCGATGGCGACTCAGATCAAACCTTAGATGGATTATAATACTATTTCGACATCTGAAACAGTGAGTTGATCCCGTCCAGATGCCACTTCAATTTGAAACGTGTCTCGCCACGGTCTTCACAGGAATCGCATCTAAACGTAAGAAATGTTTCATCTGAGCTGCGTCTCGACGCTTTCGGTTACTGTGACTTCGTCGCAAATAAAAAGCGATTTAGACGCGTTTTAATGCAAAAAACGTTAACAAGGGCATGGAGCACGTAGCTCCCAAAACTGATGCAGCTTTCGTGATGGATTCATGAAAGAATCTGCACTGAACCAGTACAATGTTAGACTGAGATGTTCATAGATGTGTAGCAGATTTCCTTGAGTCTTAGATCGACTGAAAAGATAAATCTAAATAAGCGACTTTGAAATTTGTTTCACTGGATGTTCCGGATAGGGGGATGGGTCCTCCAAACAAGACCAACTTCGCCTAGGAGAAGGAGGGGAATCTAAAATTACGACTTTTTCATGGATGCCCTTTAAGAATGGTTTCTAGGAGCCATTCATAAAGGACGTCGAAGTACATCTGGTAGAGTTGTAATTGGTAACAGTAGACGGGTGTTCTCGTCTGGTCTTGGGTTCACTACCGGTCGGTAGAAGCGACGTTTTTGAAAAATTGACCGGTCTAGATCTTTTTGTCATTTCTTTGTTTCTTTTTACAAAATATCGATAAAATTGTGGTGCTCGTTCACGTCGTCGGAAATAAATGGGTCCGTATCACTTTGCCGAAAATAACTTTGCCGACGCATCACTTTGCCGATAAATTGTTTTGCCGACACGTACTTTTTGCCGACACGTACACTTTGTTGACAACTTGTTTTACAGACAAAATTTGTTAATATTAATAAAAACTGATCAATTTTTTTCAGAAAATTCTTTATTTTCTTGAGCTTTTTAAATTGTTTTAATCAAAATTACAAATACTCAAAGTGAAAGATTATGGGCAATGCTCCGAAGAAAATCCATAGTTGATCTATTACCACGGTCAGCAATAACATTTTGAATCCTGGATTCTTTATTTTCGTCTTTTTTGCGCTTCTTTGGAGCTGGTTCGCCACGCATTGCTTTTTCAATTTCCATTTCAACTTCATTTTGTTCTTTTTGAATTTGTTTTATAATAGTAAAAATACCAGCATGCGATCGAGCAATTAATATTTCCCAGTGTTTATGCCACGCTTCGACTTTGTTTTGAGTTCTTGGAAATGCAAATTCCATTTTATGAAAGACAGATCACATTTCTGGTGGAAATAATGGATTTTGTCTTTGAACTCTGCCGTTTCTCATTGTTCTTTTGACTTTTCCATGTACATAGTTGTTTTCAAAACATTGAATAATTGGTTCAGCATCAGGTGGTAGTAGAGCTTTGACTTCGTCAAAAGCATCAGGAATTTCTAAAGGACTTAAAAAAGCCAAAACTGGAATATGTCGTATAAGAAGACTAAAGTTTTGGTCAGTCCTGCAGCTTGAATTTGTCTGTATACTGATTGTCCTAAATGAAAATGACAGCCTTTGCTTTGAGCGCTTGGAAACTCTGACTTTACAGCATTGATTGAACCTTGTTCAAAATCAGTTAATATAAAGTCTGGCTTTAATTTCAATTCATGTTCTTCTGCCATTTCATTTAATTCTTGAAATAATTTTTCATATAATTCTTCGCTTTTCATCGTCATTAATGCGTAAACTAATAGAACAATTCGGAAATTAACATTTCCACCTGCAGGCGCGTGAATGCTGTACAATTGCCGAAATAATGTTGGAACAGTTTTAAACGTTCCATCCATAATTCAAAACTTCGCTTCTTGCAACCATTTAAGATTTTCAGCTGTTGTGAACAGCAAAATTCTTTCAGTTCCTTCGGTAATGTTTTTTGCAAAATGTATTCCATTGAGTGTAATAGAGTACGCATCTGGTAATTTAAAATCGTCCAAAGTTTTTGGTGCAAGTTCTTCGTCACAAACACGTCTTGCTCTTTTGATTTGTTGTCTTACGGCATCTTTTCGTGGTAAACATGGTTGTATTTCACGCGATGTTGTAGCAATAACATCGTTAGTGATTCGTGCAGGTTGATCGTTGCTAATTTGACCCAGCTCCTTCATTTGAATGCAGGTTTTCAAAACTTCAGATTTGCTTGCTTCTGGAGCATGATTGTGCTGTTGAGCATTAAATTTGTGAATCTTATGCTGTTCCCCAGTCCGAATTGTAGTTGCTCTTGCAGTACATTTTGTTTCCTTTTGTGATTTGCGTTCGCAAATCCAATAATACACATCATCACGATTTTTGTCTTTGATATACAGGAACCCATCAATGTTTATTTTGCACTTGCCTTTGGTTGATTTAATCACTTCAGCATAACTTCTTGTACCGATGTCACTGTTTTTACTTGAAGCCATGAATGAATAGTAACTTATGGTGAGATCTATATCTCTTTATGTATATATATCACGTTCATGCCCGCATATACGTCCAATCTCGGACTAGCCTAGGCAATCTAAGATTCGCCTGAAAATAGTACATCCAATGTGACATTGGCCTAGACCAATCCGAGATTGGACGCATTCAAGTATGAACGCTGACATATATATCACTGTATCTACAATAAATTTAAATTTATTTTTGACTTCAATATTTTGTCGGCGAAATAAATTGTTGACAAAGTGTACATGCCGGCAAAACAATTTGTCGGCAAAGTGGTGTCGGTAAAGTGATGCGTCGGCAAAGCTATTTTCGGTAAAGTGATTGCGACCCAAAGAAATTTCTTCCACTCTGTTCATCGTGATATATTCATAATATCTCTGCTAATCAATTATTTTTTCAATTGTTAAATTGATCGAATTAATTCATGTTTATTTTGTGGATTGTGAATAAGATGAATATGAATAAATTGAAAAAAAAACAAGAAGAAAAACAAAAACAAAAAAAGTACTAAATAAATCACACGTGGTACAAAAGTTCTGCATTAGTTTTGTTTCTGCTATTTCTCTGCCAGGAATCTTTGTTAAGCCCCCACTCCCCGCCTCAGAAAATCCATTTTTTGGTAAAGTAATCAAAGTCGAGTTTTTATCATAGGAAGATGCAGCGAAGTTTCCTCTTTTAGAATATATATAAATTTAAAAAAAGGCCAAATTTTTACATAGTTTCGTAGGAGATTTCCACCTCACTATCCGGTTTTTGGAGAGATTTTCGCGGTTTTTGTTATTTTTGGAAAGACTACTTTTTTACTTCTATCAGCATGGAATAAACATTGCTANACGTTTCGTGTAATTCGTGCAAAGTCTTACTTTTATTGATAGTTTTTGTTTACTTGGCTTTAGTATTATGAAAAATAAATATGTTATATAAGAAAAGAATAAAAACATTTTCGGAGTCTCTAAAATTTACATTAACTCCGACTCCGACTCCGAAAAAAAAGATTGACTCCGATTCGACTCCGTCGGAGTCGATTTTCGGAGTCTATTGCAGGTCTCTAGCTACGACCCTGCACATTAGGTAAAATGATGTGCTTTTGATCGATTAAAAATAAACGAAGTGAATCATATAGTGCCAAACATCCATTGTATGATCAAATTTGTCAAGGTACATAACATTGTAAAGTAGAAAACGAAAGATTTACTTTCATATGACCTGTTTATTGGACTCTATTGTTTGTTCGAAACATTCTTCATCGATTAGAAAAATAAAATAAGTTGCATAATTCTTTTACTACTACCTTTGAAAGGAAAACAGCTTATAGTTGTTTTTTTTGCCAAGTGATAGCATATTTTTCTACTATAATTTTTGTGAAACACGACTTGAAAGGAGTGTTGAAGTGTTTAAGAGCAGAAATTTGTACCCCCTTTCCCTTCCACAGACCGTGACAGAGAAAACCAGTACCCATCACAGGCCGTGACAGACAGGATTGATGACCTTCACAGAAGTGATAGACGGGTTCCACAGGCGTCACTGAATGTCACCGATTTTTGATACAGGATTAGTGAATATATGTCACTAATTTCTGTTGAAAGTATATTTGCTTTTTCTTTATTGTAGCCGTAGTGGTTAAATGAAAAATGATGAGTGAAAGACTAGCAGGTTTCATGAAATAAAACAGGATTTGCATGACTGTTGTGAGTAGCTACATCGTGTTTCACATTTTTAATCCCAAAGGGATTCCCCTAACAGCTTTTCCCGAAAAAGGAATTTGTTTGTTTGCTTTTTTTCGCGAAAAAACGCGTTTTTTTCTTTTCTTCTCGTAACGTAAACTCATCATTTGACTTTTGGTACCAAAAATGATTTTTTTTGCTTTTGTTCAAAAAAAAAACTTTTATTGCTGCTTTTTTTCAAAAAAAAAGAAAAGAAAATAGGACCCCTAATTGTTGGTTTAGCGAAAAGAGTTTTTATTTCAAATTTCTTTTATAAGTTCGATTGTCTCGTGTTAATTTAATAAACGGTTTTCCAAATATGTTTTATTCCTGCCACGATTACATTGTCTTTCTTGTTGCTCCTTTTAGGAATAATATCATGTTTTTCTTCCTTAAACTTAATAGCCCGACATTTACCATATTTTAACTCTTCAACAATTTGTTTTAATTGTTCGCCATTATGTGTTAATGAATATAATTGACCAACCAGTTGTGGTATTTGGCTTAATTCAACTTCTTCGTATTCTCTGTTGTTTCTAATAGCTTGATCAAATACTCTTTGCTGTTCTTTGTAACTATTTTTCATGGTTTTTAACCCATCAATAATTGAACTATTCTGAGAACCAGCGGAACGTTTTCCTTCTTCTTCTTTAATTAAATGTTCAAGATAATTTTCAAGGTCATCATTAAAAACAGCGATTGCATTTTTACGCGTAAAATATGCAAATTTTGCAGCGATTTTAGTAATAACGCCTTGTTCATATTGCAATTCCTCGATTAAACGATCGCAATGATTATTTAATGCAACGATCAATTCATAATTGCTTGTCTTTTCGCGAATCATTTTTTGAACATTATCATCAATGTCATATTTTATTTCTTGTTTATTTTCATATGTGATATGCATATGGGTTGTCCATGAACAACCACAAATTTTGCATATTCCATTAACCATTGCATCGCATTTTCGCAAAGCCGAATGATCAATCGTGTTAGGCGGTACACCTTGTAAATAGCAATGAGGATGGCAATGTGTCAGATAATCCACTTTTGCAATGCCGTTAGATGTAACAACTTTTGTACATTTTGGCTGTGTACAAACAGTACGAGGATAATCTAAGCTTACGGGTACTAGCTCCACTTGAGGAATATACAATTTATCTTCCAATTCATTAATTGATAATTCATTTGCTGCAAGTTCTTTTTTTCGATCCTGAGCCAATTTGATATTTAATTGAATATTTTGAGATATCTCTGCTATCGGTTTACATAGCTCCATAATTAAACTACGAGATTCGTTTAAGGTAATGGTTTCCTTTATTTTATGAGTTGGACATTTCAAAATATAACTTATCATATTTTCAGTCATTTTAACCGATCGAGTCCAGCTTTTAGAAAAGTCACTTTTATCATCATCATTAAATTGTACACCTTGTTTTAATGCTGCAAGAAAGCGAAATGATTCATTATCGAAACAAAAAATATTTGATTGTAGAGGTATCGAAACGCCAGATTGTTCTTCTAAATCCTTCAACAGAGTTCTCAAAGCTGGTAATGTGTCACCCGGTTTATAAAATGTACCACGACAATTTGTAAAACAGAAAACGATGTTATCTGTAGCCTTTTTATGAAGATTCGTCAATAGCTCTTTTATGCAGTATCGAAATTCCAAATTTAATCTTGAATTGTTAGGTTTCAGTAGAATACATATACCATTTAAATGACCATAATTGGATATGTATGAAAGTGTATTTTGCAAGTTCTGTTTGTCCATTTCAATTCCGCGTGTATCACCAATTCCAGGTGTATCAATTATTCTTAAAGTTAAATCATCTATATGAAAAACGTGTGCTTTTGCATATTGTGTCGACGATTGACCTTCTACAGTACATTCACTATCATCATAACCGATTTTTATTGTACGTTCCATACAATTATCATCTGTAATGATAAATTTTGTAAAAATTCCTGCCCTAAGTTCTTCTTTTGCTGCTTCTTCAAGTGAAGAAAACGTTAAATAATTAATAAATGCATTGATAAATGTCGATTTTCCAACGCCTGTTTCACCAAGTAGTAAAATATTCACTTCATTTTCTGCATCTTTATTTGGTAAATAGCGTTCCAAATCATCTTTGGTAAATGTGAGAAATTCGTCAGGATGCAGTGGACTACTACATTTAAATGAATAAGATTCAGCGGCAGCTCCTCCACAAGAGCAATAAAATGTGTTATCATAGCCATATTCAATAGACGTTTGACATTTTTCACATGTCCAAGTCTTTTTCTCTCGAGGACAATGATAGTTTAATTTTATTCCAGCACAAGGAATGGAAAGTTTTGTAGTTGTAGCTGGTTTGCGTAATGTAGATGATGTTAATTGCGATTTTGCAATACACCAACTTAAAGATTCTTTTTTACTTTTATACAAATCATCAGCCACGAGCTTTCCGTTTCTATAATAACAGATTTTTATTTCTTTTTTTGTTTTCACTTCAGGATGTATATTATAATCAATAATAACAAATTTTGACTGTTTTTTCTCCACATCTCGAACCAAGTCTAAAAAATAGTGGTAGCTATCTTCGTAAAGTTGATTATTTCTTATTTTTAGCTCTTCGTTCATGTAAAATAAATATATATCACCATTATTTTGCATCGGAAGAACATCTGATGCATCTCTTTTACCCAAATAAATAATTTTGTTTTCTTTAAATACTGCAATTTGTTTGATTGTAGTTATTAATTTTGTATACTTTTCGATAAATGCTGAAATATCCATAATAAAACCAGGTTTTTCGTGAAATTTTGTTAATATTTTTTCTATTGTTATGGGTTTTTTTGTACCAGATCTTACTTCTACTAATTTGGTTGCAATTTGTTCTCGAAATGCAGCTTCACATGTTTTTATTTGATGACTCTTTTTATAAATTTCACCAAGATTGTCGCTGGCAACAAAGTCACTATTTTCATTTACTTCATTGTAAAAATCATTGAACTTTTGTTTAGCTTGTAACAAATCATCAAACTCTTTTTCAAGAAGTGTTATTGTTTCAAGATTTAAGTCGATTAATGTTCTCTTAATTCTCGTTTCTAATTGGAAAAATTTTTCAACATTTTTCAATGGATATAATGTATATTCAAGAGGTTTTCCTTTTCCATTATTGAATTTTGTCAGATAGGATGGAACTTTTTTCATTAGCTCAAGAGTCTTTTCAAATGTTTGTGGTAGTTCTTCGTCTTGAGGAATTATATCACCAAAGAACTTTATTGATAAACTTGTTTTCAATTGATTTTCATCTTCAGTAAATTGGACAGAGCCGCTCCCTTTTATTGATAATGCTATTTTTTCCATATTTGCTTGTAATATTCCTTCAATATACTTTTTCTGATAATTTTCTTTATTCTCGAATTCAAATGAAGCAAACACATTTGCACCCCATTTTATTCCAACCACAACATGAGTCGCATCTGGCATTTTTATTGCATCATAAGATATTAGCTTTTCCAACTTTTCATTTCCAATGGTAAAAGTTTCTTCTTTTGTTCTTATATCATAAATCAGAGTACACTTGACTGACTTATAGCTTTTCTTTTCATCGCCCAAGTATTTTCCAGATCCTTCCAATTTAAATAAGCCAGCAAGCACATTGATTTTCAATTGCGCTTGTACATCTAATTTGTTAAATTTTTCTTCGAATGTATCTGAAAAGTCGTATTCCAATCGAGTGCTTGGTACATCCATGTTTGAAATTATTGTTGCTGGTAATTCACTTTTAAGTAAAGAAAGTCCACAAAATTCTTCTTTTCTGGCATCATATAAATCACCCAGAAACGCAGCTCGTCCAAGAGCTTTTCTAGTGATTGTAGCATCTTGCTCCATTTTTAATTGGAATTGTATTATCTAGAAGTAAGAAATCAATATTTGGTAAAGGGGAGGGGCAGATAAAAAGCCAAATTGGTCCAATCTGACGTTTTTGGTAGAATTGAATTGAATATTATATGGTTAGAAAGAGCTCGGTTTTTCGATCATTCGAGCATAGAAAGTTCCGAAGTAGGCCTCCCTGGTGAAGGACTTTGACTCAAGCAAGAGAGGCCCCGATGAAAATGCACTGTTCTGTTAGTGTTTTCATTCGTTTTCGGTAGTGAGTGGGAGTTCAAATATGGTTCTTATTTGATATGAAACCTCATGACTTGACTATCAAATACAGATCATAAGGGACCATATACAGTTCTTTTCGCTTAGGCAGCCAGTCGAATTATTCTTCGCAATTAAGCGAACCATTACCATTATGAGGCTCGATGAAGGGGTAAAAGAATTTCTACACAGATTCTGAAATAGTCTAAACGGTAGAGCATTCAAAAAGCTACAAAATAGGAGCCATACAAAAATTTTTAAATGAGTTCCAAGGTCTACCATAGGCAATTACTCAAAATTTGCAGTATAAAAACAGAGGCACATAGGAGGCTAGCTCGAACCATTAGTCATTTCCAGTTGGTTCCTATGTGAAAATTTAAGCCAAAAAGCGCGCTTAAATCAGCTTAAATTTTTGGCTGAAAAGTGCTGAAAAGCGCACATTTTAAGCGGCTGGAAAGGGCTTAAATATATATAGTTCAGCGCTTTCAAGCGCTTACCCTTGGAAGTTTAAGCACTGTCAAGCGCTGAAATTCTAAGCAGTGTAAGCGCTGAAAAGCGGACATTTTAAGCGGCTGAAAAGCGCTTATAATTACATATTTAAGCGCTTATAAGCACCGACTTTCGCATATATGTCAAACTTGAAACTTGAATTCAATTTCAACTTCCAACTTTCAAGCCTCAAATGCGCAGCACTTTGAAGAATCACCACTAACCCACATTCTCACACATACATCATCGCAGCTGGTGTGGGTGTGGCGAAAGGACTGGTCACGAAACGACACACATCACATCGCAGAGTGTGGGTGCCTCGAAAGGACTGGCGACGAAACGATACACATCACATCGCAGAGTGTGCACTGTAAAAAATAGAATGCCTATATGAATTCATACAGGTTACTCTAGGAATGCCCATATGAATTCAGCGATGAATTTCTACTTTCTTGAAAATAGAATATTCATATTCAAGTTTTGATTTTAAGCAGGAAATAATATGAATTTCTATTATTTAGAAAATGATAGATTTTCTAAATAACAGAAATTCGAGAGTCTCTGGGTTTTTTATTTCAAATTGAATTTTGAAAAAAAAATAGCACCCAATTTTTACCAAGGCAGAGGTACTAAGGGGACAGAAATTCTTTGAATTCAGAATTCAAGAATTCTTTGCTTCCTTGCCTCCTGTTCCTTACAAAAAAAGGGTACTATGTATACATACATAAGATATATAGAATTCAGTCGACATATGTTATATCTATAGTACCTTTTTTGAGAGTGGGCTAGGGTGACTAAGGGGACTA